TTTTAAGATGCGCACATACGTGGAGATGGTGCCTTTAAAGCTATGTAGCTATGGTGGCTCCTGCAACATAATGCAGCTACATGCTATGTAATATTTGTACATAAATCTGCCTGTGATGTGTTGGATGTGATTGTCTATACGATACGATATGATACGATTACGGCATTCGTGGAGCTGCAACGAGCAATCTGGAAATCCTGCCATACATAGAACATACCTACTTCTTTGCATACATAATAGTACATACATTAGAGTTATACATACATAAATGCCGTCGAACGGGGAGGGGGAAGAGGAACCATGACAAGAGCATATATAACATAGTGCATAATTATACTTATGTACATATGTACATATATCCATCAGACATTGTTTGCCATAGAGCTTGTTACGGCCGGAAATGCCGCTTACTTATGTAGACCAAACAACAGCGCGTAGTTTTAAGTTCCATAAACTATGTACATATGTACCTACCTACACACACACACACACACACACACACACACACACACACACACACACACACACACACACACACACACACACACACACACACACACACACACCCACACAAATATACATACCCGTATGTATGTATGTTGCAATCAAACACACACACACACACAAGCACGCACTTTGTTTTGTACATTGTTCCATGTTACGTATCTCTGATCGCCTTCGTATTTGTATGTCTGTAATTTGTCATTATTATTTTGATTATTACTATTATATATGTTTGTATTATTTTAAGTTAAGTTTAGTTAATAGCCATCGGTTTAGTCAGAAATTGTGCGTGTATTGCTGTTGTCAGAGAACTCGTTCATTTACCCCACGCCGCCTGCAATCAGCATTGATATTATGATCCGATATTGATACTGGCACTGATATTCCTCTCACTTATTAATAGCAGCACTTTCGATTATGTTGCAGGCCAGGGCAAATGATCCTGAAGTCCTTAATCTATCATTTGTAAGTCATAGACATTGCGTTTCCATATTCCCTAATTTAGTGTGCAATATTAATTATATTGTGTGTGTGTCTGTCTGTTTTTTTTCTCTATTTATGTATATCTCTCAAAGGTAAACTATACTTATTAGTTAAACACTATTATAAATCGAATTATTTTAATTATTATAATTTATTATTTTTTATAAATATTTTAATGCTGTACCAATGACAATAAGCAACGATACATGCACATTACTTACTTCATAGCATTTATTTGGAATGCCCCTAGAGAACAATAAAAATAAAATGTACATTTAATTAAATGCTTTTTTTTAAATGAAATGGAAATGAAACATCTAATACATACTATACGGACACATACGACCAAAATTACCAGCCACAAGTTGGTCCTTGGCGTTGGAACATCTTGCTGGAGTTCGGCTTGGAGAATAATTAAATCCTGCTGAGGTACTTTACTCGAAATGTAGTTCCAGCGCTTTGTATTTCCTATTCCGATGTATTATACAAGTATATATGTATACTAGCAGATCTTGCTTGTCTTTGCTGGGTTAAGTATTTTTCCTTACAATTATATATTTTTTTATCATATCCTCCCGCATTGAGGAAAACTTCTATAGAACCTACTAGAGTATATACAATAGTATGCATGTACCTTTTACGCAGTAGTAGCGTATACAAACCGTACAATATTTGAAGGTAATCGGATGAAATATGCAGTTTTTTACACAATCTTTGGAGTCCGCTTTACCCCTTTGGAGTTTGAATTTTTTAAAATCGCTTCTTTGTACTTACACTAATTGTAGCTTCTTAATTTTCACCACCAGCCAGCCAGTCAGTCAGACTTATATTTGCTTTATTATTTTCTGTTGCTGTTTCTGTTTCAAGTCTATTGCTGTTGAAGTAGTTCTGTGAGTTTTGAAATAATTGCAGAATCAACAACATCGGATGATAGTTATTTATAATAAGCCATAATGATCTCTTAAAAAGTAGATCTACTGTTAATTAATATTGTTTTACCAAAGCATTTTAATCGATTCATTTTTATAAAAGCTAATGAGCCTATAGTTCATAAAAGATTGTAGAGCCAGCTTTGAGGTCAAACTATAGTAATGAAAATGTATAGGACATACAAGGTGTGTTCCAAAGTAAACAGGACTTTAAAAAAAAAACAGAACAAATGGTTTTTTCGGCAAAATCAATTTATTTTATTCAAAATAGTCTCCTTCTGCTTCAATACAGCTTTTTGCACGATCCAAAAGCATGTCGAACGTGTGTTTTAGCTCGTTGGCCGGTATGGCCGCCAGTATGCCGGTGCAAGCCTTCTGAATGGCCTCTACGTCTGCATAACGCTTTCCTTTCATGGTCAAATGCATTTTTCCGAAAAGGTAGAAGTCGCACGGTGCCATATCAGGTGAATACGGCGAGTGGTTAATGGTTAAAATGTGACTTTTGGTCAAATAATCGGTCACAAACGTCGATCGATGAGAGCAATTTTTGGTCGTCAGTCAATTTGTGCGGAGCAAACCGTGTACACACCTTTCGTAAACCCAAATGTTCGGTCAAAATGCGATAAATCGATGTTTTGGAGATGTTCAATTCCATTTCCATCAACTTCAATGATGATTTCGGCTGATTTTTGATGAATTCACGCACAGTTTCGATGGAATTTTCGGTGATCACGAATTTTGATTGGCCCACATGTTGATCGTCATTTATGTCCCCACGACCACTTTGAAAACGTTGAAACCACTCGTGCACTCTGCTACGGGATAGGCAATCATCGCCATAAACTTGTTCCATCAATTGAAACGTTTCGGTAAAAGTTTTACCAATTTTAAAACAAAATTTAATGTTGGCTCATTTTCGCACCGATAACACAAACATAGTGACACTTAAAACGCAATAACTTCACTTCCAATCGATGAAATGTCATGAAATTCTCACTGGACAATCGATAAAGATAGCAGATTCTAACGCACTAGTCGACATATAGATAGATTCAAAAAGTCCTGTTTACTTTGGAAAGCCCCTTGTAGTATCAATAAGTGTTAAATTTTAATTTCCAGCTTCACTGCAAGAATAAACACTCCCAGGAATGTTAAAAAAATGTTTCCAGGCCTTTATCGTTATAAAATGATCAAAATACTAAAAGAATACAAAATTTGCCTCAGGTTTGATTTGTTTCTTATTTAGGTTGTTTAGGGTTGTAACAATAATTTGGAGCTCATGGCAAATGTGTTAAATGAAGCTGTCTTTTCCAGTAATTTGCTGATTGCCATTTCTTTTAAGAAAAGTAAAAGTTGCGTTGCAGCTGAGTACCGGAATTCAGAGGTGGTTGTATGCGTCTCCGCGGCCGTAGCGGATCGTGGAAAGCTGCCAGTTCGGTCAGCATATCCATCGGATGTTCGGCCCTTTGGCTCTGTTTCGTACGCCTGGGCTGCATGGTCCGATAGAATTCCGTGGGCCTAGCTCGCGGATAAAACTCCCAGCTTGTGAAGGCCACCTAGTTTGGATTCAGGTGTTAAACTAATCCGAATATGTTTTGTTTTTGGAGTACAAACCCCGTTGGTGTTTAGGAAATGTTCCATTTTTGTAAATATCTAAAAGCATGGACAAGAATTTTTCGCCTAAAATTTTCGAATTTTTAAAGTTTTTCGAAAAGAAATGAAAACAAATGCAAATGGTACGAAGTGTAATCTCCGAATTTGCGAGATAGACTGGTCTAAAAAAACAATTCATATTGTTGACAACCACATTTGAATGACATTAGTTTTGAAGGCTACTCTCTAATTCTACGCTTTGTCCAAAATGTTTGTCAACAAATTCCAATAATTTTACAACAAATGTTTAATTTGGATTTGTAAGAGGGTTAAGGAGAAGCTTTGCGACTCGTGCTTCTATATTTTCGGATTTATTATTAGACATATTGGCTTCAATGAATTTCAATGTAGGTAGGATGTGTTTTTGAAAATGTTTGGAGTTTTTCATAAAATTTTTTCTCTCTTTAAAGGATAAACTCCTACAAGCGCTTGATGGTTACATCAGTTCAGAGAGGCTTCAAGCTCAGCAATTAAAGGTGTCAAATATCTTACAAAGCTTGATTCCACAGCATCTCCTGTAAATAGATCGCAGCACTCGATGAAAACAATTGCTCCTTCCAACTCACCCATATTGTGAGCTGCCAAAGTAATGATATATCCATGCAGAAAGATTATTTGATAAGTGCCTCCCAATTCAAGTCCCAAGGGAATGCGATTACGATTTTGACGTAAGATTTGCCATTTTATTTATTACTAATATCACTCAGTGTATATACATATATTTGTGTGTTTCTTTGTGTTTTTGTTTTGTGTGTGTAGAAAGGGTTTATCTAGTTGTTGGCAACAAAAAGTCTATATACATATATAACTTGCCTTGAGCAATGCAAAAAAAAAAACAATAATAATAATAATAGACGATATATAAAAAAATAATTAAAACAATTTCGCTATTTGTAGTTTGTGTTTTGCCTGTTAGAGTTGCACTTAAAAATAAATACTTTCAGCTTAGGGCTAATCTGGACGACTATATACGAGTACATACATATTATAGTATATACGTATACTATGTATGCAGGTACATATATGATTTATGCCACTGGCAGGTACTGGCGCGATGGTGTGTCGAATTGGACGGTTGGCGCCTTATAGTCGTAACCATTGCCATTGCCATCGCCGTAGCCATTGCCATTGCCATTACCGTTGCCAATGCCATTGCTGCTGCCGCTGCTGCCAGGACCGTAAGGATTTACTCCATAGGGGCTGTTCGGCTGATAGCTGTAATCATCGCCGCTCTGGCCGCTGCCGCGCAGGGGTCCTGCCTGCTGATTGTCGAGGTTCTGGTTGAGGAACTGGAAGCGATTCTTTAGTCCGCCCAGCAAAGTGTTTGAGTCAATTGAGGTCAGTTTGCTGCCAGAACCGGCACCAGCGGCGGCCAAGGGCTGGGGTCTGCGGCAGAGAGAAAAGGACAATCGTGCGATTAGTTAAAACAGTTGAAAGAATTAAGTCGATTCATACGCTCTCTAATGTATGAACCTATAAGGGTGAAACGTCAATCAGACATACTCTATGTTAATGAAGGGATAAGCAACGATTTGCTTCCGAAAGAAAAACCTTCAACAGGCTAGCAGAAGAAATTTTATTTCAATCAAATCAGTCATGTCCTGAGCAGTATCTCAGAATAGAGAAGACCAAGCCTTTTGAACTTTTGCAAACATATAGTGCCGATTAAAGAATATATTAGAAGTATATTCCATGTTATTGCTTGCATTTTCAAACAAAATTTAATGACGGAAATGGGCAATGATTTTCGAAAAATTAGATGATTCTTTTCAATACATCCATCCAGCTGTTTTGTTTTGAAAGCAATTTCACAGCAGATTTCACAATCTCCAAGTCTCTCTAGAGACATAGATCGTTTATGAGTTCAGTGCGTATTGGCTCACTTACTCGGGAATGTCCAAGTCGAGCTCGGTGATGGGATGATAGCCGAACTCATCGGCCGTGTAGCGGGTCTTGTAGCGCTTGCCATCGGCACCAGTGAAGGAGTAGGAGCCGCTGACCACAAATGTCTTGTCATCCTTCAATTTGCCCACGCTGGACACTTCAATGCCGTTCTGGGTCTTTAATCTGCACAACAAGAAGTACGATTGAGATGGTGTTCTTCAATGAAAATGCTTCTCACTTACTCCAATTTGAACTTCTTGCCCGAATTCAAGTTCTGAAGCTTTTCGGTCTTGGCCTTCATGACGTCACCGTTGTAGATAACTGCCGGCTTGTCATCATCAATGTCCTCGGGCAGTGTGTAGACATCGCTGGGATTGTATTTGAACAGATCCAGATCACGATTTGTCAGATGTTTAACATCAGCGACCGCAAACGCCACCAAGCACAGGAGCAGCTACAGGGCGAGAGGCAAATTAAAAGCCAATTAGGTTAGACAGGTATTCAAAACTGAAGCTAAAGCTAAAGCTGAAACTGAAGCTGAAGCTGATACTGAATCTGAATCTGAATCTTAATCTGAAAACGGCACCAGGCCACCATATCACAGTTCCAGTTCAACTGGGTGGGCTTTATGGGCATGACGGAAGCCATAAACTGTGCCACTATTCAAAAATGCCCACAAACGAGTTCAATATTCAAAACGTATGTAAAATAAACAAGCGCGATTTAGCATTTAACGCAGATCCGTCGTATTTAACGATGCGCATGCTCAGCAAAAAAAAAGCGTCTACTTATAATAAAAATGTTTAAAAAAATGTATAAATAGAAATACAAAAAAAAAAAACGAGAGAAAAAAAACTGGCCCCATCGAATCAGAATAATTCAATGAGATATTATGGATGGGTGTTGGCAAGAAGTGCCTTTGATTTGCAGCTAATGTTTTAATCTTAAAAGGCCTTTTGCAGTAGCTAACAACAACAACAGCAACAACAGAAGCAGAAACAGCGACAGCGATTAATCAAAGTCGCTTCGAGACGCGCGCGCGTTTTGCTGGCGTTTTGCTGGCGATAATCGCCTTGACTTGACGTCGCATTGTCTCGCACGTTTCTCGATTGAGACTGTGGCTGTGACTGTTGCTGTGTCTCTTCTTCTTGTTGTTGTTGTTGTTGTTGTTGTTGTTTTTGTCTTCGGTATCATAATTGTTGTTGGCGCTAATGCGTTTTGATTTATGTGATTTAGCTTAGGCAGCGCTAATCAAATAATGAGTTTTTACACACAGATACTACTAGTATGAACATAAGTATCTACATATTTATGTACAAGTATAAATCTATCTAATGATCTCGCCATCAGCTTATAATGTATTTCGTTGTTGTTTTTCTTTTGTGTTCTAGCCAGTTGCCCTTTCGGATAATGTCAAGGTGTGCCAAAGTGCCTAATTGCTCTTCACAAATGTTATTTCTATATCAATAGAATACTAAATGTGTCAGACAATTAATAGAGTACTTGAATTGATTTTTGATTATGTTTGAGAATATGACTGATATCAGAAGATAGCAAGCTTCTATTCTTCATACTAGAATTGTTCTCATTAGCTGGAATTTATTTATAACAATATCTCAATATCTAAACTAAAATGAACTAAATCCTTAAATAGTATTCGTTTTTATTGATCGTCTGTAAACTACAAAGCTGCTATTTAAGAAAGTCAACAGGCTGGGTATTCCTGCAGACTCTAATTTAACGAATCTGCTGCTCGTTGTGTACTTTGGTTTTATGTTTAAAATGTTAGGGAATGGCGGTTGTTGAAAGTATATATAATAGATCTGCAGAACTATGTACGCTGTTTTGAACGGAATAGTTTCCCCAAAAAAATGTAAATTTTCGCCTGCAGTTTTTAAGCTGTTTTGCTGCCATGTGGGAATACCCCCACTTAAAATATTGAATCTTCTGGTCATTCGAATCAAAATTCTTGTTTAAATATTTTGAACAATCTTAGATAATCAAATCTAAATTTAATTATATTTATGAAGCCATTTAAAATGACAATTGAAAATTTTCTAAAATAATGATAAGATTGCTCATATATTTCCATGAAAGCCTTTTAATAATTTATTTGTCTATTCAGATCCGATCTAAATTTAATTATGTTTAAGATGCCATTAAAATTGACAATTTTCTAAAATAATGATAAGATTGCTTTTGAAACATTTCTCATATATTTCTATGAAAGCCTTTAAATAAAGCAGTCTATTCATCTATTCAGCATGAGAAATTGTGATTGGAAACGGACAGTTGTGCATCGGTCTTGTCGCGCTGAACATATCTACAATCCACAATACGGATCAAATCATCATCTATATGTTGTATTCTGTAATGCGATCAGACAATGTGTCCTTCCACTAATACTGGCATTTGAAAGATCTTCATCTAAGGCTGATCGGCTTTGTTTACTTCTCGAACACACGTTTATTAGTCAGTACAGGTAATTATTTGAAAAACACATAAACACACACACTAAATATTGTTTGTTTTTCAAAACATTCGAGTGCAAAATTCACAATTTGAGAAAAAAATGTGACTACTTGTATTCTTTTGTGATTCTTCGACCCAACGACAAACGTTAAAAGTGTTAATTCGGTGTGTGTGGTTCTTTATATACTTGTATACTTTTTTTTAGATCCATTTTACTCTGTTCATAGGTTTTCTGTTTTTTTTCATTTATATTGTTGATTAATTTTGCGTTTTTATCTTGCAGATTCACTTGGAAAGTTTGTAAATCCTTTAAAAGCCATCGGCGTGATTATAAAACTTACAAAACTCTTCATTTTGAACAGCTCACAATTGGTGTGTGAAACAGAAAAAAAATTTGAGTTTGAATCAAAACTTGAACTTGAACAACAACACCAACAAACACTGGGAAAAGGAGCTGCTTAGTGAGGTTTTCTTCAGACGGCTGCGAGACGTTTGATGCGCACAGATTCTAACAAATAAATACAAACGCTCCGACTTCTTGTTTCCTTATATATGATCTCTTGATTAGGCTAAAGCCAAGACGCTGACGCCGATGCTGCTGTCGTCGCTGTCGCTGTCGCTAACGCCGTCGCCATCATCGTCGAAGTCGCAGTCGACGGCTCTGCTCACAAACAAGCCAAAATAATAATAATAAAAAAAAGAAAAAAAAAAAAAAAAAAAATAGACGCCCGAACCGGACCGGACAACGAACCGCAGCGACAGTCACACAGCCAGCTACATACTAGCTAGAACTCTCAAGCTCGTGGGCTAGATCTTAGGCGCTAGCCCTTGATTAGCTGCCCATCTGATTATTATCTGTTCAGCGAGCTGTTCAGTGGGACAATGGAGAGCCGGCCATGTAACTGTTCTGGCGCCCTATTGAAGCGTTACATGCGCCTCCCATTCCAGGCGATGGCTCCATGGCTCCATGGCCCAATGGCTCCAGCGGGTGACAGCGGGCAGCGAATTCATAGAAATCTGGTTTCGACCCGGGCTCACCAAAAACACAAATTTTAGAAGAAAACAAAATTTAGAAAACCGCCATCATCAAATTAGCATACACGTTTAATGATTTTTTATTGACAATGTTCTTTTTTTTTATTTATATTTTGGCTGTTTGCGTTAATTTTTTATAAAGCGTATAATATTATATTTTTTCTTTTTCCTTTTTTTGCTGACAACTTTTTTTTTTTTTTTGCCAATGCTGATGCTGATGCGTGCTTACAGATAAAGAGCCAAGGTGGGGGAAAACATGGACGACCATCTCCAGTATGTGGAGAGCGCTAATATATGCGACAGCGACCATTTTAAGTGGCCACATGCGCTGTGAAATTGATATCATCGCGCCGATCACCGATCACCAATCACCCAACGGCAAACACCAATCACCGATCTCAGCGCGTCTTCACTAATTTATAAGTTTCTTCGGGCTTTTGCGGCCTCTCCGTTGTTTCTTCGGTTTTAGGTTTTGGCTGCAAAACGGTTCAACTGCTGAATGAATTCGAATAAAATTAAACGAACCACATTTGACAAATGCGCTTGTTTATGCCAAAGACCACTAAGTATTTACGCGAAGAAGCCGTTTGAGTCATTGATGGTGCACCACAGTTCTAGGCAATACTACTCGTATTGTGGAGTCTCAACAGTCTCTACATTATGATTAGCTGTACGGCTCGTACGGCTCGTTCTGACCTTCGTTTAATTAGTTGTTCCGTGCCGCTTGCCATTCGACGGCTTATCATTATCAGCAGCTTCTTCTCTTGACTCTTGACTCTAGCTGCCTGCCTCATTTAAAAGCAGTGTGTCTGCATATCTTCCCCAGCTAGTGGCAGTTGGCTTCTCAGTTTTTGGGGCTCGGCAAGCGCAGAGAACTCAAATCATGCACCCATGGCTCTTGAATGCATCGAAGATGCCTCAAATGATAACTTTTTACAGCCAATTCAAAGATATTCAAAGATCAGTACCTACACTGATAAAAAAGCTACACATTTTCATATGAAATTTAATGTTCTACTATTTCATATTCAAATCAAATTTAAACAACATACATTTAAATAAAAATATATTCAATTACAGATTTAAATATGAATAATATTCAGAACAAAGTGTAAAACTTTGTTTTATTAAAGTGTGTCAATAATATAATGTTTGATCATATTTAATTTTAACATGCGCCCACCTTAACCAGTTTGTTGGTTATATATTATATTTCATAGTGAATTTTACTATTTTTCTCAACTTTATTTTGACGATTTTTGTAGTCGATTCAAATATACCACGGACCGCAAAAAATGATTATTTTGTTTTTTTTGTTTTTAAAGGAAAAAATCATTCACTTATAGTAACTTTGGGAAAGCGAGGAATTTACTGATATCCTTTTGTAAAACTCAAAGGGTAATCAGTAATTTATAAGTTTTATTTTTTTGCTCATCAATAATAATTATTGGCTAATTCTTAAAGTAAAACTCAAAATTAATCATTGAATTGTGAGCGAATTAATACAATTAAAAAATAATCATTATTTTGTAATTTTTTAATAACACTTATAATGATTACAGTCCCTGAAATATACTAGAAATATATTAAAGTTTAATTGACTAGAATTCTCGTTGACATTCATATATGGTCGTTAGGCATGTGCCAAGTAAGTGTATTCAATCAGCTTTTCTTCACTTTTAATATTAATACTGATCTAAGCTATATAAAAGGCATAAAAACGTCAAGATAATTAATAATTGATAGGAATTAATAATAATCAAAAGAATTTGAAAACGACTTTCCCCTAAAAATGGTTCTATACAAAATATATATGTATTTAGGTTATTTTAAATAATTAAATACAATAGAGTAGAAAAAAAGTAAGATAAATATTTTATAATTATAAAAAATAAACCTTTGGCGTGAATCAAACCCATGTCCACATCATCATTTATCATTTAATATCGTCACACTTTAAATTTAATATTCTAATATTCAACTTGAAATTGAAGTCTTCACACTTTAAGTCTACAAAAACACACGATTTTTTAAAAATTTTGGAATTTAAATTTACTTTTTTTTTTATCAGTGTCAAGGTTAAAAGATACTCTTTTCATTGAATTAATGCGAATGTACGCAAAGATCTCAGAAAATATTAGCGTTAGAATATTTAAACATGATATCCAGATTCTCCTAAGCCTGAGAAAGGATACGCATTTTTTTCTTCTGATGAATTATTTTAAAACTGAACGACTCCAGGTACGTGTTATATATTTTGCATTTTATTAATTTGATTTAATCTATTTAATTAATAAAAAATTAAATTAACAAATATTTACAAATTTAGTATTTTTCCTTGTTTTTTAGCATTCCTTTTTTCATTCCATTATTCTGTCTATTCGATTGGTTTTTGGGAAAGTGGAAAGGAAATCTACTAAGCTGTTATTACTGGTTACTTTATCGAACCCAAGCTCAGCCTGACTATAATCACAATCTAATTCAAGTCCAAGTTTTTTCTGCAATCGAGCAGGCATTAAGAAAAGTTCAAATGGGAAGCAACTCAATTGCCAGAAAACACATCAAAATAAAACATCCTTTACCGAAACGATAGACGTTTTGAAAATTAAAGCAAATAAACAATTTCGATGTAATCTGAAAAAGAATTTACATAATTAGCATTACTAAACTGCCACTATAACAAGCATGACATATATAATCATTTTAAAATGTAATTTAGTATTAGGAAAATGCAAAACTTTTTAATTTATTTTCTTTAATGTCATTAAGAACAAATTAACCTTTCTTTCCTATAATTCTTTGCCTCAATATAAACTAACATAAACTTGTTAAAATCCAACTAATATAGTACATATGTAAAACTCTCTTTAGCGACAGAGTTCTTGAAGTATAGTAATTAGAAAGTAATTAACAATAAATAAATAAATAAAAAGAATATGCTAAGAAATATAACATATTTAAACAAAATTAAACATTTAAATATAGTACATTAACTCAAACGCTGCGCAGAAGCTCCTGAGCTGTTGGAGGAACATTCGAGCATACTTCAGCCGTAGGGCTGGCAGGTTTAGGTTTGTGCTTTATTTCTAAAGGGCAAAGTACAAAGTAGAATTGGTTATCTGAAATATTTTCTCACCGCCCAAAGGTTATTACTGTTATGAATAACGATTTAATCACGATCTTGAATGCAACGAATTAATGGTTTACCTCATTAAAGTTACAACTGACTGTATTCAACAGACTTAATTGAGCCAACAATTGTCTTTTTATTCAAAATATTTACTGGACAAACAAAGACATTGGTATCTACAAGTATGTATCTATTCGACAGAATGCAGACAGAAGATGGTGAAGATTGTGAGGCAGAAGAGGCCTTCGATATTACCACTGATCGTGAGAGATGGTGATGGTTCTGTGTAAATGATAAGCAAGCGTGACCAACTACATGGGCCACTAAGTAAATGCCCGAACATAAAGCTAATTCAAAATCATAAACGATTTTCGAAATCTACTTTTTATGCTTACTCGTAAACGTACATAAATATGTACATACATACATACATACATACTACATATGTATATACCAGATGGCATTCATTTTTGAAAACGCAACGCCTCGGACCAACAACCAAAGCACAACTCAATCTCTCAATCTTGGACAGATTTAGCATACACACTACTACTGTGTATGCTTTGATGTTTTCGATTCGGTATTGGTGTTCAGTATTCAGTATTCAGTGTTTAGTTTTTGTCTTGACAAATCATTTAGTAGTAGAGATCAGCGTGCCGTGAATGAAAACGTTAAGCGCTTTCAGCAGCTTGTCATGTCCAACGCCAATGTTGATGAAGATGCTGCCGATGCCGATGCCGATGCTCAGATGATGATGAGTTTTACCTTGGATTTTGGCTGTAGTTTGTAGTACTAGCGGTGAGGCGGCGACTTGAATAACTAAATATACTTGTATATATATGTATATGAGAGCATATGTATGTTCATGTCTAATCGTTGCCGATTTATTTGACACGCCGAGCTGACATTATTGGAGTGATGGCTCAACTAGGCGTAGCTGCTCTGTTTGTCGGTCAGTGTGTAACATATTCGTATTCAGGGCATACTTGTATTCAATGCCCATTGTGCGGTACAAACGAGTTCTAAATGGTTGTGGGGACTGGGCTCAGCGCAAGTCGATATTGATTTGGAAATTTCTATTAAGTTTTTGCTGACTTGTCCGCCTGCTTGGCAACAGACTGTCTTAACGTTGACGCATCTGGCTTATTTTCAGCAAATCCATCAATACTGTGGGGCTATAAACTCTAT